GTAAGTAAATGGAATTGACGCACTCTAATCAGGTGACACATGTTATGCAGGGTAAAGGCAAATAAAGGAAGTACAGACTCAGGAAGGGAAAGGCAATATTTAAAGAAATGGTTGTTATTTTCCCCAGCTTTAAATCTGAAAGGACTTAAAAGCAATGCTCCACTGGGGGCAACAAGCATCTGAGAGCCAAGATCTTGGGTTTTTTGTTTGTCTGGTTTTTGTTTTTCATCTCAGTCTTCAATAAAACCAGCCAAGACTACTTAGAGAAATTACCGACTCTACGGTTTTGGTAGGAAATACACAAGAGAAGCCTAGAGCATCCTGTTGGGTCAGAAAGTGTGTATTATGCATTCTGATACACCCCATACACACTCACACACAATAACAGATGCATCTTAAAGGAACAAGGAGCCAAGTGATAAAGCCCCCCATGGCCAAAGTTGGGATAATTTGAGTAAGAAGCAATACAGTGTTGGATTACAGACCAAAGTACAAAATATTGATGAGTTCACGCTGATATAAACACATGGTTGAATAGGTAGATAGAAGATAGATTGATAGATGATAGAGATAGACAGAGATAGATATAGAGATAGATGATAGACAGATGATAGAGAAATAGTTAAATACATAAAAATAGGCCATTTCCCAGGCAGAATTCCCAAATAATTTATGTAGATCCTTAGTCCTTCAAGAGATAGTGCATAATTCCCCACTCAAGTAAGAGAGGATCACAATAAACTCACATAGTAACTCATTCCAAAAGACACAATTTGGAAAGCAGGGGGCAAAGAGTGATTTAGTGGAGAAACCTGAGAAATACTATCTCAACCGGGTGATCAAGGTCGACATGAAAGCCATAAGTCACACTGATAATATGTAACCTTGGGGTGATGTGATGAGAAAGGAACTCCACCTCTGTAGTTTTTCATCTCTAAAACACCTCACTCCAGGCTAATCTGAAGAAAAACCACAGAGACATCCCAATTGAGAGGCATTCTACAAAACACACTTGATAGTCTCAAAACTGTCAAGATTATCAAAAATAGGAAGGGCTGAGAAACCCTCCCAGCCAAGAGGAGCCTAGTGAGATTTAATGACTAAATGCAATGTGGTATTCTGGAGGGGATTCCAGAGCAACAAAATAGGAGTCTTTCACAAAATTAAAATATCAGAATAAAATAGTATGTTAATATTGGTTCATTAATTGTGACAAATGAACCATATTAATATAAGATGTTAAGACCAGAGGAAATTGTTGGAAATATATGGGAACACTCTATTATCTTGCAACTTTTTGGTATATCTAAATCTAAAATAAAGGGGCCATTTTTTCAAAAGAGCAGTCAGAGTAGACCTTATGCAGGCATTCGTATCAAGCAAACATTTGACGTGAAGGAGTCAGCATGTGGCTATCTCAGGATCAGGTTGTGTAAATGGAGTGCGTCTGGTATGTTCAGAAGGGAGCAGAGACCTGCATCCCAGGAGTCGAGATGGGAGCATAGAGGAGAGAATGTGAAAGAAGTCAGACAAGACCTCGGGTGGGATGCCAAATCTGGATACACAGGCTTCTAGGCTATGTCAAGATCTTTGCCTTTCACTTGGGCTAAGGTGAGTGGTGAATGTTAGATTTTGAGCTGAGTTACATAATGTACCCTCCCTTGGAAAGCATTGGTCTGCCTGATGTAACTATAAGGAACAAGGATGAAACAATAGACTGGCAGTAATTCGGGTGAGAGGTGTTGGTGTCTTGGGAAGTTGGAACCAAGGAGTTATAAGAAACAATTATGTTCTGAATAGAGTTTGAAAGCAAAATCAATACTTTTTTTTAAGATTTATTTATTTATACAAGAACTGGGGTACAGGCCAGATGCACGGGAGGGTGAGAGGATTCACCAGAGACAGAGTGGGGAACAGAACAGGCAGACTGATGAAATACACTGCTGAGGGGCACAGTGGGTGAGACAGGAGGTCTGCTGCACCATGTGGGTTTCTTCCTGGCCGGCTGGGATTGAACCCACTCTGCAGAGGCTGCGGACAGCTTTACAGGACGGTGCTCAACCACCTGTGCCACCAGGGAGGCCCCAATATGGTTTTTGACCATATCAGAGGTGGAGTAAGTGGAAGACAGGAGTCAAAAATAAGAAAAGAAAAATTATGCTTTGTGCTATGTATTCATTCCTTCGTTTATAGCACAGAAAGTTGGGGATTTGCCATAATGTTGAAGCTGCAACTGTTATTAAGCCCATTAATAGCCTGCTGACCCCTCTGTCCCCCTCCATGGTTTGGGGTTTCCTGCATTTGGTCTGAAGCTTCTGTTGTCTGGTTCTTTCCATCCTATCATTTAGCCTTGAAAGTCCATTTCCATTCATCCCTCCAGGAGTCTGAAAGCAACTTTTCCACAAAGGACAAAACATAAGCGTGCTTAATAGTAGGAAACTATTGAGTTCCTAGGAAATGAAAGCCCCTTAAGGCAAAAAGCATGTTTCCTGCAAAATGTTTCTGAACAAAAGTCATAATTAGATGTTACATTTTTAAATGCAGAAACTCATGTATGTGTAATTTCAATAAACTGCATTTGTCTATTAAGTACCCTACTGAGATTAATAGTGTCCAAACTTGTCTCAATTACCACACTAAGAAATTCTACCTTGTTATTACAAGTAATGGAGCTTTTCAGGTTTTTTCAACTGCTAATTGACACTAAATCAAAATGTGAGGGTCGGATAAAGCCAAACTCAAAAACCATCCTTGAAATTAGACTACAGAACTGAGACAATCAGAGGAGGAGGAGGGGAGAGAGGGCAAATTCAAAGTGGGGATGTAACAGGGTTGGCCCCAGGAAAAGGGGAAGTTCCAGGTTCCCTGCCCCACCCAAGGGAGGGTGGAGCTGAGAAGGGAGAGAAGAAGCTGCAGAGGAGACTGAGGAAGGAAGGAGCAGGATGCAGAGCCAGAAGGAGACCTGGAGGAGGCACATGGAGCAGAGAGACACGTGAAAAAACTACACTTGCCTTTTGGTCATGGACTGGGTGACACAGATGTGGGTGAGAGACCTGTGGGGAGGTGACAACGGCAGCTTTTATCTTGATTTTGAATTTTGCTCTTTTCCTCCCAGACTTGTCTGGTTGTTTCTGATCCTTTTCTGTGAGTCCCCACTGGAAGGTGCTTTAGACTTGTGGCAGCTTTTGGGCTTTGCTCTGGGCCAATCCCACTTGGGTAGACTTCTACCCACAAGGGGATGGGTAATTTTGGGTGCTTAATTTAGAAACTATATTCTTTGTCTTTTCTGTATTGTTTACTAACTGTTTTAAAGTTCCTTTTAATTAAAGTCTCACATGTTTTCTGTTGACGTGGTGGATGGCAGAACCTATTTAGAGCAGGCAGGTTTGGGGGTCTGGAGTGCCCCTCTCCCTGCCCTGTAACAGGGAGAGTACCATGGACTATGGTGTAGACTAGGGGTGCTCTGGTGGAGGGTCACCACACCTGAAGAGGGGATCCTGTACTCCCAAATGGGGACTATACCCAAGGGGAGAAATCAAATATTGTAATGAACAATGAACAATGATGTAAGAAGATAAAGTTTAATTAAAAATGAAACAAAATACAAACAACATTGTTAACCAACATTAATGCAATAAAAAAATTTAATTCATGTTTAAAATAGGGGAAAAATACCAGAAGAATGAGAAGAATGGAGGGTTTTATAAATGTAAACCATCTTAACATGTTTTTAAATATTTCCCATAGTTATAAAATCTTTCCAACATAAATTCAATTTTGGTTCCCTCAAAAATAAGTAAGGAAATATTGTAACATATACAAATAAATGCTACTGTGTGTATAAAAAAGATGTTTCTGAAATTGAACAGTAGACATGCATTTTGGCACCATCACATTATAGTTCAAAACGTCTGCTAACCACTGAGAAACAAAACCTAAATTTGATGTGTAGAATGAGGGCCTCCCTGTTGGTGCAGGGATTAAAGACAGCACTATCAAGCTATCATCAGGCACTGCAGCATGAGTTTGATCCCCAGCCAGGGAGCAAGTCACATGGTGCTGCAGACCTCTCCTGCCTTGCCTCTGCTCCCCTCAGCAGTGTATTTCAGTAGATCTGCCTGTTCTGCTCCCCACTCTCTGGTGAATCATTTCACCCCCACCCCCTCCACCCCAGTTCTTGTATGCATAAATAAATAAATAAATCTTAAAAAAAAATGGATGTGTGGAATGAGAAGGAAGAGGTAACAGAAGCTAAAGGAAGAGGTAACAGAAGCTAAAGCTCACCTGTATAAAGTTTAGAGAGACGCGCGCCTTTGTTAGTGCCCATGAATCTTAGCTCCTTGACTTCCCTTGAGTCTACCTGACAAATTACCAGTAACACATTCCCCACTTCCCAGGGCTATTTTAATACTGGTCATATTATCACAGAGAAACAAATTTAAGTCATTTAACATTCAGCTTCCATATTTTTGAAATGCAGAAATAATACCTGCCTTAGATGTTGTAAGGATCAAGTGGTTTAAAGCATTTAGATGTATGTCCACTCAAGAGCAGGAATTGTTATTACTTGTGAAGTTTAGAGCACCTCAAGATGTCACAGAAAAAGGTCTAACATATATTGTATAGAAAAGAGTCAATCTCCTAATTGCAAGCAGCCCTTCATATAGACCACCGCCTTGTTCAGCTGCACAAGGACATGAGCTAGCATCATCATAATAGGAATAATAAGAAAGAAAACTGTCAAGACACTATAAACATGGCCACGATCCCGATTTTTGAAAGTCTTGATTTCAGGCATTTTCTTCACTTGTTTTCTTTCAGGTACCATATTTTGTATCAAACAGCATCTCCCCACTTGCCTGACAGTAAATTTTCATAAAACCCCTTTGTCAGATGATATGTTCCCAGGTCTAATAGTCAAAGAATTCATCGCCATGATATTTAATGACTATATACCGAATGAAGTCACCTAACTTATCTGTATTCTGTTTAACACTCACCTCTGCAATGCAGAAGCAGGCTCCCAGGAAACAAGGAAATCACCCCACTTCTTTGAACTTCCAGGCCCAGGCAGAGGCAGCCTAATGCAAGCAGAGAGGCAGGGTGTCATTCACCGCCTATAGCAATCAATGCAAATCTATGCCACTGTTAGAAGGTGTTTTAATTCCAATAATAGACATCCTGTGATTGATGAATCTTTCGCAGCTGTTTTCTCTGTAGCTGCTTAATTCCCATCTGCTGCAGGATGGTTGCATGCTTCAGTGGGTTACAGACCCCAGCGTATCACACTTGAACTTCGCCAGGTTGAAAGGAGTGACTAGCCTGTGAATTGGGGCAACCAAATGTTGATGGGAGGTCAGTTCACGATATGTTGAGTCAAATTCCAATGGCTTCCGAAAAACATCAATCAATTGATAAAAAGAACACTAATTAGTGACTGATTCTTTGAGCATTTCTGTTCTGTGTGTAACATGGTTCCCAGTGACCACAGATTAGTCCTAAGACCTTGACAAGCACTTCAATCTACAAAACCTTGGATAATATCAATCTCCCTGGGAGTGTCTGTTTTCATTTAAATGTCTATTGTTTGCACCTACATTTATTTGGGAACTGCCCAGTGCTTTAAATGGGTGAAAAAGTTAGTATAGACATTTTGAAATGTAAATTTGAAAATGCATATGCCTCAAGTCTCAGAAATTCCAATTCTTGCAATTTACCCCAGAGAAATAGAGCACAGATTCACCAGGAAACATAAACATGGCTGTTCATTAGAGGTTTGTTTATACTGTAAACCTGGTAGCAACAAAATTTTGAAATCATCTAAATGCTTGTCAGTGGAGGAATGGATAGACAAAATTGTGGTGTAATTACAGCATGCAATGCTCTACCACAGTAAAAAATCAAGCTACATTTATCAATTTAGATGCCAACAACAACACTGGATGGAAAAATAAAAAACAGTGGGTAAGTTGCTGGTGTATACTCCACACCAAATAACCTAAGTGTGTGGATTTTAAAATAATTTGTTAAATAATATTTAAAGGCTGATGAACATTTGTACATTTTAAGTTCCTGGTTGAAGATGGATTCAAAGGATATGTATTGGGTTCCAACATACAGCAAAGGGGATGAAACCAAAAAAGGCCAAAAGTGGATAACAGATGGGGAGTTATTTTCTGAGCAAAACCAAAAATGTGCTAGAAACTGGGTAGAATAGATTGGATCAACCCAACTCTGAACACTTGAGATCCAGCATGCGGAAAAATGTTAAGGAATGTCTTGTGGAAAGTGTGGCTTTCAAAACAAAAGAAGACAAAGAACTCAAGCTCTACTTCAGCCATTCCAACCACCTTCCTTCCTGAGATTCCTGTAACCTGGCCTTAGGAACTGAGCCAGTGGCCCAGACCTGACTTACGATTCAAGCTGGACACTGCCAGTGGGGATGCCAGTTTGGTGGACAGTGTGGTGATGTGGTGACCTGGTTGCTGCAAATACACCAGAACAATCATCTTAGTACCCAAGCTGCCAACACTGAAGACACCAAAATGACATTGACTCTGGATTTAGGCTCTACCTACTAATCCATCCTGCCATCCTGTCCAGTTCTCCTATACAATGCCCTCCTCTCTCCTCAGAAAAAAAAAAAAGAAAGAAAGAAAGAAAGAAAGAAAGAAAACAAAGATGTTTCAATTGACCTAATAAAATAAATAGTTCTTACAAAACAACAGTGGTTTAGCAACTGGCTTTATTCACCTCTTCAGTGATGCAGACTGAATTGTGTTGACATTTGTGTTGAGATAATTGGAGTATAAATTACTTTCAAATAGTTCTTTCTTAAAATAGAGAAGGGTCTGTCCTTCATATTTGAAGATGACAGTAATTATGGTTCTCCATGAGGCAGTGTGCTGAAATGACTTTATAACACTTGTTATAGATTTGTTTAACGTGTCTTTTGTAGTTATGGTCTTGTGAAAAGTAAAATGTGTTTAACTCTAGGTCCTTTCATGGAAATGTGCTTGCTTCCAAACTAAGTTTGTAGTGTGGAACATTAATAGCGCTGATGCTGAAAGCCGTTCATGGAAAAGACAAGGAATTCAGGAAAGCATCTTCCATGTGAGTTTTTGTCTTGCTCTTGCTTTTGGTGGTCCTGCCATTTTGCCTCACACATTAGGTTAGTCACTGCAGTGGTGATTGCCCAAGAGCAGAAGGATCTTCTGCAGAAGCAGCTCTTTGTAGCTGGAGGGTGTTTCTAAAAGCTTGCCTGCCCTCCAACCATCTACTCTGAGTGGGCCTGCTCTCTTTTATGAGTGTTTTCTAAAATGGGTAACCAGACTAGTAGAAATGTTTACTAGGCAGGGCAGCTCTTGCTCAGACCTTTGTCCCCTTTTGATTCTGATAAAGTACATGCAACCTCAGGAGCAGTTTCTCTACACCCACACTATTAGTTCTCTGGCATCATCATCTGAGACGCTTTTAGATTCTTCCACATTAATGCTAAGTAAATTCAAATTTTATCACCCTAAAGATCTAGGTAGAGGACTAGAATTAAGGAAAGGGAAGGGCATGATTTGCTATAGGATCAGCTTATCTATGGCTTCTTGTGGGAAAAAATGATTAGTCTTTTGGAAACCAGAGGAGAACATCTGGAGCAAGACAAGACTTCTGAGAAATAATGAAATTAGCCCTGCTCATTAAAAATAATGATGATAATATGTATTTCATCATTAGTTCTGAATAGTAATCAGGTCTGTAGTTCTGAACGATAATCAAAATAACAAGGTATCATACAGGCCTAATTCAATTACTTTCAGAATCATCAAATACATTTCATCAAAAAGAATAGGTATAGAGGCATTTTATGATGAAAGTTTGCAAAAAAAAAAAAAAGGAGAGCCTAGGGGTATTGGAAACAGCAAGGCCTTCTTTTCTTTCTTTTTTTTTTTTTTAAGATTTATTTATTTATACAAGAGCTGGGGTACAGGTCAGAGGCACGGGAGAGTGAAAGGATTCAGCAGAGACAGAGCAGGGAGCAGAACAGGCAGACGGACCAAAGACACTGCTGAGGGAAGCAGCGGGCGAGACAGGAGAGGTCTGCCATGCCATGTCGGAATCTCCCTGGCCGGCCGGGAATTGAACCTGCGCTGCAGAGGCTGCAGACAGCTTCACAGTGCTGCGCTCAACCCACTGTGCCACCAGGGAGGCCCAGAAACAACAAGACCTTCTACCAAAATTTGTTCCATGTGACCTCACTTAAAATAGCCTACAATATTCTTTATGTTTCTCAAGCAAAGTCAAGGGACCTTCTAGTCACTGACTATGGCCACCACCTAAAGTTGTATTTCAATATCCTAAAACAATTTATGCTCATAATCAGAAACTCCCTGGTTTTTCCAGTTAGACCCACAAAATTGAAAGATTTGTGAAATATGTCATAACTTGCATTTTCCTGGGGCTCTTTTATTTTAATCTCCTCCGTACGAAGAAATGGCTATAACTCTGTGTATATTACAGAACTTGCCCATCTGCCAGATCTAGGACAGGCATATTATCAGATAATGTTAATTTTTGTTAATGCATTAATTATTAACAACATTTAATCATTTTTATAAAGGTCCTTTGAATTATTGAAAGCATATAATCCCCCAATACCTTTTAAGGAGGCTGGACGATACTAACAAGAAGGCATTTTGCTAAGCACCATTAAGTCAGGAGAGCCAACTCTACATACAAGAGAGGGACTAGGAATTTAGAGACCTTGAAATATATATAATTGGGTATGTATTTAGGGGGACCTGAGTGCTTTATTGCAAGAAAGATGAAAAGCATAACAAAAACATTGGAGAAGAAAACAAGAAAAGACTAATCGATGTAATCCACTCTGCTTTTTCCAGCACCTCTTCAGCACATTCTGCACTGAATAATACTTCATCTTTTTTAATAGAACAGGTGAGGTTATGGACAGGTTTGGACTGTTCCAAGAGGAAGATGAGGGACAACTGACATTGTGGTCACCTATGGTCTATATCCATAGTCTCAGCCACAGCCCACATATGGTATTAAACATTTTCCAAAAGATATTCAAACACAGTAATATTTGAACATCTTTATCTCATTCATTATCTTTGTCTTGACCAACTAGCACCTTTTACATATTTATTCAACAAATATACATTGAACACCAACTCTTTAGAAGTCATTTCGCTGGGTTTTTAAAGGACCCAAATTTGAATTGCTATTGATCTTGACTTTATCTGTGTAAGTGTGATTCTTTGTCTCTGAATCAAATATAGTATTGTAAACCAATGTTACCCCAATTAAAATAAAAAAAGAAAAGAAAGAAAAAGAAAAGAAAAGAAAAAGAAAAGAAAAGAAAAGAAAAGAAAGAAAAGAAAGAAAAGAAAGAAAAGAAAAGAAAAGAAAAGAAAAGAAAAGAAAAGAAAAGAAAAGAAAAGGAAACTCAGTCCAATAGAGAATGTAAGACCTGGGCATTGTGAACTATAATCCAAAGTAGAGAATGAGCAACACTTTAAGAATGAAAGATTAAAAGATTTCCTCCAGGGGAAAGAAACTAGGTAAGAATATGTGGAGAGCTCAGCACTTTAGTTGAATCTGAGAAGTTTAAATTCAACCAAAATAAGTGAGTCAGATGTTTACAGAAAGACAAAATGTGATATTCAGCTTAGAATGTTGTTATGCTGATGGTTACTATGGCAAAGGATTTCACCACCTTGCAAGTCTCATAGTCCAGAGAATAAGATTTGGGTAATAGATCAAATCCATTATGCAACCCCCAGTGCTGTCTATAGGAACCAAATGTAACCTGAAGAATAATGAAGAGAAATTCCAAGTACTTGGGTGAAATACTACATAGAGTTTGTACTCCTAAAGATTTTATCTTTCCTAAGGGATGGAGGGGTAACAAACTTGCTAAACCATTCACGACTTAGTACATCTTCCCTTAAGAAATAGAAATACTACAGATCAGATCAGCCAAGCTATGTCTTACATAGCCACTGAACCCCTGTGATCCAAATAACTCCTTCTCATCAACATATATCTCCTCTTTCCAAAACCACGCCAT